TCGTGGCAAGCATGCTGGTACGATTGGGACACTTTGCCATTGGCTTTTATCAAATCCTCAAACAACACCATTCCTTTTCTGTGAAGCAGAAGGACACGTAGGTAAAACCTTTCACCGGCGAGGTAGGATATTTAAAAGACTTGACCAACGGCTAACACCCTCTTCTTTCTCCAAATCCAACACTTGTCAGCCTTATTCCAACTAAAATACGCCGGAATATCTTCATAAAAAATTGATTGTGCTGGGACATCATCAGCTCCAAGTGCATTGTTAGTGTTTAATTCAAAGTAGCCGGTCAATTTAGTCCGATTTGCTTTCCCACTTTCAACCTTCAAAATACACGAGTTGTTCATCTTCATTGCGGACTGCCAGACGAGTTACTGGTGGAAAGCGGTCAGAAAGACGGAACTTGAATAAACGCCATGAAGCTGGTGTAATGCATCAGCTAATGATAAGACTATTTCACAAGACCAGCAAGATGTGAGCCTACCTTCAACTGCACTGATATAGCGGCCATCAACAAATGATCTCACCTTGTTGTTTGAGTCCACAGACAAAGCCATTCGATCATGTCCCTTTGTGATGTATTTGTATAGATACTTGATAGCAGTTGTGTTCACAGGAACTTCAACATTTATGTGACAGTTGAAGTTTAATGTTAGATATGGATTATACGGCACAACTGAGCCATTATCGAATACGGTGGTGTGTTTCACAACCCGCTGGCCATCATTGGAATGCTTGTAAAATGGGTAGGCGCCATCAACGTTGACAGTCCGTTCAGAAAATGGTTTAGGAAATCCAAGCTTGCAAGACTTCCCATTCCAAAATGCAGCGGTGGGCCGCTACGGGCCCATGTAGCGTTAGCGTAGCAGCGCCAAATTTTCTTTTTTTCGTGTAGTGTTAGCGCGCCGCTACGGCCGCTGCGCTACGCCAACTTGTAGCGGCGCTAACACTAGCCATTTTTTGGTGTAGTGTTAGCGCCCCGCTGGCGCCGCTACGCTGCGTTACGCTACGCTACAGCTTTTTTAGCAGCAAAAAACGCCAAAAAACCGCTAAAAACTGCTGTAGCGCAGCGTAGCGGGCGGTTTTTTGCGCCCTGTGAGCGTAGCGTTAGCGCAGATGGGGAGAATTGCGCTAACGCTACGCTAAACGTTAGCGCATTGTTTTGCCCCGTGCGCGTAGCGTTAGCGCTGAAAATGAAAAAAGCGCTAACACTACGCTACATTGTAGCGATTTTTTGCTACACTACGCTACGCTAACGCTACAGTTAGAGTAGCTGGCCCACCGTTGCAAAATGGACGACCCTTTCACGGCCCATGCAGCATAAACTCGGACACAAGAGAATGCAAACGTGGCGAGGTTTTTGGGTTTGGCAATTCAGCCGAAACAATTCGGTTGATTTCCTCCGGCTGGCCTGTTGGCTTCATCTAGCGTGACCATTAAATGCAGATGAGGCAACCCTCTCTTTTGAAATTCAACAGTATAAACGTATGCGAGTTTGAAATTCAACAGTATAAACGTATGCGAGGACTTTTCCAAATCTTTCCATATGGACAGTTTCATTTATCAACTCCTTCATCTTCAAGTTAAAGACTCTTGCAACGATTGTTGGATGATCAAACGCCTTCTCCCCAGGTGGGATCTTGTCGAGAATTTCTTGCCAGTTTGGGTTTGCAGTCATTGTTATGAATAGTGATGGCCGCCCAAACTTTCTGCATATTGCCATCGCATCGTGATACAGCTGTTGCATGCACTGAGGACTACCGATGAAGGATGATGGCAAAATAACACATCGTCCACTTATAGGTGCTTGGTTCTTGAGTGAATTGACTAATAAATTGTAACTTCCAGCTTTCAGTTTACCTTGGTTATTTGTGACAAATGACAGCCTTCCTCTTTTGACACAAAGATACATATCAACAAGTAACTCTTGTGTGAGTGACCAACCCGCCAAAATAGGTGAGAATCTCTTTCGGCGCCTGAAGAGCAAATAGGCAAACCATTCGAGTGAACCCACTTGCCTGTCCTTAACTTGAATAAACAAACAATTAGTACAAATTCATCAAATCATACGCAACTGCAAAAGATAAATCACCTTGGCCAGTCCATGCTGCATAAAGATTATCCCATTGTTGTTGACCGTAAGGAAAGAAGAGAGGGTAGCAAAGGGGAAAATAGGATGAGTGCATGTCCAATATCTCCACAAGCGCATCGTCACGGCGGTGGAGTATTATTTTACGTTCACCTATGATGTCTCCATCGCCTTGGACCACAACACCTACTTCGTCCACAGTTGGATTATTGTAGCGTTTTGGGTCCACTCCTGCTGAGGGTACCCCTTGCAAGCTGATGGTTTCTGCCCTGGATTTAGAGAGGACTTCAAGAGCATTGCGGAATATATTAGTGTATGGATTAATTTTCTCCATTAAGTTAATTAGTGATAGGATTATTCCTTGTCCAATTTTAACACCTTTCATGTTGTCCTTGCTCCAAACAAGGGCGCAGTTCAGCCTATACTCCGCTGTAAGACTCAAAAGTGGTTATGAAAACCCTTTTGCTGAATGGAGATGTAAGGACTCTGTTAGTCCTTCACTGAATGAAGAGGAAAGGGCACGGAGACGGCTAATGGGCCAAAGATTCTAAGACCAAACTGGGGGGGAGTTTGTATTTCTGGCTCAGAGAGAGTGCGGGGTCAGTTCTCTGCTGATACCACTTTAGAAAATGAAGAGAAAACAAAGAGAATGAAATGAAAAGAAACAAAGGCTCACCTGGCTCAGAGAGAGTGCGGGGTCAGTTCTCTGCTGAGCCAGGAAGAGAAAGGAGAGCTAGAAGTAAGATAGCGACAAGAAGACATGTACATGACAGCCTTGTGAAACCCAACATGGGACGGGTTTTACAGTCTCCCCTCCTATAAAAAAATTGAAGAAAGGAAAAAAAGAAAGAAAAGGAAGGAAAGAGAAAAAGAAGAAAATTGGAGAGTAAAGAAATCCCTGAAGATGTGGATCCTTAGCAACCCGCAATGTCATCAGCCAAGTTGCCCGTCCAACTGTTAGAAGCTTGAGTAGCCTGTTCAATTTCATTTTGTAAGAGCTGGTTGTTGAGATCCTCTAGTGCAGCTACTGCTGCTGTCCCCAGGGCTGGGAAACAACCCTCATCTTCGAATTCATGGTCCATAAGGGAATCTTGTCTGATTGCCGCGTCAATCGTCAAACCGGCAACATGAGCCTCAAGCGGAGTTATCTCTGCAACACCTGCTACACTTGCTGCTCGAGCTGGGGGTCGGCCGGCTGGAGGCTGAGAGGATCGTCCGGGGCCGGTGGTAGGTTTGCTCCAGGCGCGGGGGGCCACATAATTGAGAGGCTTAGTCGGGGTTTGGAAGTCATTGGGAATGTTGATGTGTGAACGGTCGATTGGCCCGGGACAGGCCCCAGCGGCATTGCCACAGTGTCTCTTGCAGAAATGACAAAGACCTTGTGAGTCCAGGAAGGCGTGGACCCGCCATATGAATTCGTCACGGCCGAGAGTCGGTGGGGTGCTAGGCGTTGCCTTGGTTATCGGTGCTGGGCCCATGGGTCTTTGCAGTGCGAGGAACGAAGCGTTGGATTTCTTCTCGAACTGGCCATACATGAAGGGAGAGGTCTCTAGGAGTTGACTTTCATGAATCCTGTCTTGAAGGGCGTCGGATAAGCCGTATACGACAAATTGAGCTAGTTGGAGGTCTCCGAGTTTGGAGAGCTTTTCTGCGTCAAAGTTAAACAGGCTCTGCAGGGTGCGCGCTCGTGTGCTATATTCTAAAAAGGTCTCGGTTGGTGACATGTCGAGCTTCCTGATCTGTCGTTGGAGTCCGGAGCGCCAATTGTTGGGGAGCGCAAAGTCGAACATGCGGGTTTTGAACTCCTCCCATGACTTGTTGAGGAACCCGGACGCTTCGTTAGCGTAGAACGACTGAAGGTTCGTTTCTGCTATTAAGTTGCCGAGGATTTTAATTTTGTCGGCCGCATTACTGACGCTTTTTGTCTCGAAGAAGATCTGTGCTCCATGAATCCAACGTAGGAATGGTTCGGTCTCCTGAAATGGTCCGCGGTAGGTTGGACCATTGGAGGTACGAAATTTCTGTAAGTCTACTCGACCCGGAGCTATTTGTTCTGTCCGTGCGCTGAATTCATTCTTAATGTTCATTGCTAGTAGTATGTCTTCTAAGAGGCCGATACGGTCTGCACTAGCTTGGTGGGCAGCAAGAAAGAGTTGAAGGTCCGCTCGGCGATCCTCCAAAGCCTGGCGACGATCTTCCTGGGCTTGGGTGATAGCCGAGTGTTGGATCTTGAGCACAGCTTTGAACTATTCCTTAGCCGTGCTCATGTCGGATCCATCGGCCGTACGAGTGGAGTCGCGATGTAAAACCCCTCCGCTGTTGGGTTTCACAAGGAGTGTCACAGATTAATATTCCCGTGTAGTTACAATCATTCTTGTTTGAGATCCTAACCTGGCTCCACAGAGAACTGATCCCTCATCTCTCTGAGCCAGGTAAGCCTTTCCATTTTCTGATTCCTCTTTCATTCTTTTCTTATATATCTAAAAGAGTTGTATGTATGAGAGAGAACTGATCCCTCATCTCTCTGAGCCAGTGAAATAAAAGCTCCCCCTCTGTTTGGTCTTAGAAACTCCTGACTACGTGTCCTGTCCCTGCGAGCTTTTCCATCAAGAATAGTGAAGGGATTCTCAACCCTTACACTTTTTTTTTCTCACACCAAACCTCAACAACAACTGATTGGAACGACTGCTTCATCCGACTTCATTCCGCTTTGAACTGCACTGTTCCGAATAAATCCGACTGTTCTACTGTTCCGTTCCGACTTACTGTTCCGCTCCGATCTACTGTTCCGATTGTTATACTACTTTCATCCGATTTACTGTTCCGATCGATATACTGCCCTCTTGCGACTGTTCTCCTTTCTATTTTTCTTCTTTGGGTCCCTCCATCGCACTCGATCTGGTATATGATAACGCGGACCAACGCCACCGACGATAACGTGATCCCATTATCCGATCCCGAAGCGATCATCAAGGCTGGAAACGCCGAAAAACGACGCAGTAAACAACTTGCCAACAGACCTATCGCCCCTCTCCCTTCTACGTCAATCACAGCGTCCGAGACCATGTCGGACACAGTCCCTCCATCCGGCGGCCAGGAACAACCAACCGCCGATTCCACCCGTGACTCTGCCCGTACTGCCGACGGATCCGATATGAGCACGGCCAAAGAATGGTTCAAGGCCGTGCTCAAGATCCAACATTCGTCCATCGTCCAAGCTCAGGAAGACCGCCGTCAAGCCTTGGAAGACCGCCGGGCTGACCGACAGATGTTTCTTGCCGTTCATCAAGCCAGCGCAGATCGCATCGGCCGACTGGAGGATCTGCTTCTGGCAATGAACGTCAAGAATGAAGTTAATGCCCGACCTACACAACCAACACCAGGTCGGGTCGACCTCCAAAAATTCCGGACTTCGGACGGACCCACATACCGCGGCCCCTTTCAGGAAACGGAGTCGTTCCTACGGTGGATACACGGCGTACAAATTTTTTTTGAAACGAAGGATGTCTCCAACGCAGCAGACAAAATCAAGATAGTTGGCAACCTCATCGCAGAAACGAACTTACAGTCGTTCTATGCAAACGAGGCTGCGGGGTTCCTCACCAAGTCGTGGGGGGAATTCAAGGCCCGAATGTTTGATTTTGCGCTCCCCACCAACTGGCGCTCGGGACTACAACGCCAGATCCGCAAACTCGACATGACATCGACCGAAACTTTCCTCGAGTACAGCACGAGAGCTCGCACGTTGCAGAGTCTCTTCAATTTTGACGCGGAGGTGTCGTCTAAACTTGGTGACCTACAGCTTGCCCAATTCGTTGTTTACGGACTGAGCGACGCATTACAAGACCGAATCAACGAAAGGCAGCTCTTAGAGGTAGCTCCGTTCAAGTACGGCCCTTTTGAAAAACAGGCAAACGCTTCCTTCCTTACGTTACAACGCGCCACCGATTCACCGACAGCCGCCAAGTCAGCCACTACTACATCGCCGGCTCTGGGCCGCGACGAGTTCATTTGGCGAGTCCATGCGTACCTGGATTCACAAGGACTCTGTCATTTCTGCAAGAAACACTGTGGTAATGCCGCAGGAGCCTGCCCCGGACCACATCGACCGCTCTCACATCA